ATGCACACACACATGCAGGAGCACACACATACATGCACACACACATACAGGAGCACACATACATGCACACACACATGAGGGAGCACACACATACATGCATACACACATGTAGGAGCACACACATGCAGGAGCACACACATGCACACACACATGCAGGAGCACACACATGCATGCACACACACATGCAGGAGCACACACATACAGGAGGACACACATACATGCACACATACATGTAGGAGTACACACATACATGCACACACATGTACACACACATGCAGGAGCACATACATGCATGCACACACATACACACATGCAGGAGCACACACATACATGCAAATGCACACATACCATGTATTACATTTCATCTGTGTGTCTTTGTGTGCCACAGTGCTCAGAGGTCAGAGGACAACTTGTAAGAGTTGGTTCTCTTCTACCGTGAGAGTCCCTGGGATGAACTCCAGTCTTGTGCTTGGTGACAAGCTCCTTTAACTGCTGAGCCATCTCACTGGCTCTCTGGTAACGAACTTGAGATCCTAGCTCAGAAACAAAAGAAGAGGAGAAGGAAGAAAGGAAGCTAGGATCTCAAGTAGCCAGGGTGGCTTAGAACTTGCTGTGCAACCAAGGATGACCTTAGACTCCTGACCCGCTTTCCTCTGACACCTGAGGACATAGCACACTTCTTAGCATAATGCTTAACTCATGAAACACAACAAAAAATGTGTTGAATAGCTTGTTTTATTTTATTTTATATTTTTTGGTTTTTCTAGACAGGGTTTCTCTGTGTAGCCCTGGCTGTCCTGGAACTCACTCTGTAGACCAGGCTGGCCTCAAACTCAGAAATTCGACTGCCTCTGCCTCCCAAGTGCTGGGATTAAAGGCGTGCGCCATCACTGCCCGGCTGTTTGTTTTTCAAGGCAGGGTCTCTCTGTCTAGCCCTGTCTATCCTGGAACTCAATAAGTAGACCAGGCTGCCCTTGGACTCAAAGAGATCCACCTGCCTCTGACTCTTCTTTTTCTTTCTTTTTTTTGTTTTTGTTTTTCGAGACCGGATTTCTCTGTGTAGCCCTGGTTGTCCTGGAACTCACTCTGTAGACCAGGCTGGCCTCGAACTCAGAAATCCACCTGCCTCTGCCTCCCAAGTGCTGGGATTAAAGGCGTGTGCCACCACTGCCCGGCCCTGCCTCTGACTCAAGTGTGGGGATTCAAGGCATGTGCCACCACCGTGGGGGCTTATTTGTTTATTTATTCATAATAGGGTCTCATGTAGCCCAGGTTGGCCTCAAACTTGCTATGTATCAGGGACTGGCTTTGAGCTCTCCCCTCTCCTGCTTTCACTGTCCAAGTGTTGGTTTAACTAAATTGAGCAGTCATTAAAGATTTGAAGATCTAGCTGGGCGGTGGTGGCACACACCTTTAATCACAGTGCTTGGGAGGCAGGGGTAAGTGAATCTCTAAATTCAAAACCAGCCTGGTCTACAGAAAGAGTTCCAGGACAGTCAGGAGTACACAGAGAAACCCTGTCTCAAAACCAAAAACCAACCAAACGAGAAGAACAACAACAAAAACTGAGGCTCTTCACCGATGGTTTGAGTATTTGATGAAACTTTTGAACCTTTTACAAAGACAAATCAACACACACCAGAGGTTCTTCCCTCCCCGCTCGCCCGGGGGACATTTGGTAACATCAATGGTTGTCACAATGGGTGACAATGGGTGGTGCTGGCACTAGGAGGAAGAGAAGATGAGAACACCTCTAGACACATTGCGATGTCTGAGGACATTCCCAAACAAAGGACCATCAGTCACAGTATAAAGATGCCAAGCTTGATGAGTGTGGTGGCGCACACTCAGGAGACAGAGGCAGGGGGATCTCTATGAGTTTGAGGCCAGGCTGGTCCACATAGCAACATCTAGGCCAGTCAGGACTTCATAGTGGGACCTTGCCTCAAAAATAAAAACCAAGGGTGTAAAGCTCAAGAAACCAGACAAACATAGACATGACATATGGTCTAGATGTGACATACTACATAGCTGTGACATCTAATACAGACAGGACCCATGACATAGGTATGATGTATATGTGACATACAACACAGATGACATATTGCATAGATGTGACACATAACAGGTGCGACATACCATACAGATAGAACATACATACATTGATGTGACATCCAACACAAACATGGCACACGCCATAGACGTGACATCCACATGTATGACATCCTCAACAGAATTGCTGGCAAGATGAGGGGGACTTCATTGATTTCTCTGAAGTTCTTGACTGTCACCTCTATGAAGATCAGGATGGGAAGTTCTTTTATTTTGTTTCCATTTCACATCTGGTATTACTCTTTGACCTCACTCTCCCTAGTCTGTAGTAGAGTTGCCCTGGATCCCTGTCTCAGCATATGCTCCCTCAAAGTCCTGAGCCTCCAGCCTTATTGAAGTAGGGCAGCAGGGGAAGAGAAGGCCTCAAGTGGGAAGACCCTGGAGACCCACCTATTTCGTTCACCTGTACTCTGATCTGCTCAGTCCCCACTGCAGATGAGACTCTTTCAGATTCAGGCTGCTCAAGGCTTGGACCCTGGCTCTCTGTTTTAACTCAGATCATGGGGTCTTGTGATCATGGGCAAGTCCCTTGACTGCTCTGAGTTGAAGTTTCCTATTCCAAAAGAGCCAGAGTTGCCTCCCAAGCCAACCTTGTAAGCCAGGCATGGTGTGCACACCTACGACACAGCACTTGAGAGACAGAGGCCGGAGATGGAAGTTCAGCACGAACCTGGCCTCCGTTTGGACATTGTCTCAGTAAATCAAGGGTAGGCTGGAGAGATGAAGCAGTAGGTAAATGCATTTCTTGTAGAAGCGTAAGGGCCCGACTTCAGATCCACAGCGTCCGTGTGAACAGTTGGGCGTGGTCACTCACGTGGGCATCCCCTGCACTGCGGATGGAGACTCAGAGACAGGATTACCAAGGTTCACAGGCTACCAGCCTATTTGCAAGTCACTGGGCTCTAAGTTTAGGGAGAGACTCTGCCTCAAAAGAATAAAAGGAAAGATGACAGAGGGAGACAGCCAACATCTCCTCTTGTCTTGGCTGTCATGGATGTGTGGCTCTTCACACACACATGTACACACACACACACCCTAAAACAAATTAACAGATAGAAACAAGGGCTAGGAACAGTTCAGTTGTAGGTGTGTGCCTAGCATGTGTAAGACCCTAGGGGTGTGGGCACACACACACACACAGACTCATACACACTGAGTCACATAGACTAACATACAGAGTCACACACACAGACACACAGACACAGACTCACACTCACACACTTACACAGATACAGACTCACACACACACACAGACTCATACACATACAGTCACATAGACTAACATACAGAGTCACACACACAGACTTACTTATGCACAGATTTTCACACACACACTCACACACAGGAACTCACACCAAGACTCATATATACACACAAACTCACACACACAGAGTCACATGGAGATAAAGACTCACACACAATCTCACACACACACACACACTCAGTCACACACAGACACAGATTCACACTCACACACTTACAGATACAGACTCAGACACACACACACAGACTCACACACGGACACACAAACTCATACACGCATGTAGGGGATAGAACATATATATGAGAAGTTTGTAGAGAGCACATCACAATGTTCAACACAATAAATCACAAAAAAAGTGAATTATCACTGTGGGTTGGAGGTGAGATGCCTTGCCCAAGGTAAGGAAATGGTTAAGAAATGGTGAGGTTGGGAAATGGCAGACCCAGGGCTGCAATTCAGTGCTGAAGACCATCCGTCAGAAGCATCCAGAGAAGCCTGGGTGCACACTGTCTCCCAGGTCTGCTCATTGGGAAGCATATGAAGGTCTGGACACACAGGAGGCTCAACCAGAGCAGCTTGCTGAAGGCAGATCAAGGCCCTGCTTCACCATAGTGGCAGGCTGGGAGGATGGAAGGATGGAGGCTGCTGGCTGCTGGGACGATTGTGCAAAAGCTTTCCTGGGTGGAGCAGGGCTGGAGGAGGGGAAGGGTCCACGAAGACTTCACAGCTCCGGAGAGGAAGGTGTATGTCCCATCCAGGTCACCCTCAGGCTTAGAGCCAAGACCCCAGCCTCCTAATTTCCAATCACAAACCTGACACCAGCAACTGAGGTCTCGTGAACGCTGTGCTGAAAGTGTTTTCTGTGTTTCGAGTCTCATTTTACCCTCAGATCAATATAGGGACCAAGGGTCCGTTTTTGTTCTTTAAACAGAAGACGAAGGATGCTATAGCCGGAGAAGGATGAAGCTTCTGCTTGCTTCCACATGTTCCTGAGGCTCATCTTTCCTTCCCCAAGGAGTCAGCCTGCTGGGGCTAGGGGGTTGCCCTGTGGAATTCCCCAAATCCTGCCTCAAAGAGGCAGCAGAGGAAGCTGAGTCAAAGACGCCACGGGGGTGGGGGGAAAGCGGGGGTGGGGTGGGGGGGATGAGAGGATGGACTCTACAGTGTGGGGAGGGGTCCAGGCTGTGCTCTGGCCAGGGAGGGGGTGTCTCAGAAGCCCAAGGAAGAGGGGTTTCAGGACTCAGGTCTTCCAGTCCTCTACCAGGCTAATCACTCAGGGCCTTCAGACCAAGGCTAGGTGAATCCTCCATCCTGCACACCCTCCTTCCCTTTCCCACAAATTATGTAGTTTGCAAAAACTCAACCGCTTCCCTGAGTGCTGTGGTTTCCTGTGGGTCTGGGGTCCTGCCTGACTTGGCAATGGGGGACTGTGGGTAGGGGACAAGGGAGAGGGTAGTGTAAGCACTCTCTTTGGGCTGCCCAACACACACACACACACACACACACACACATGCACGCACATACACACACACACACACACCCTGAGTCAGCATAAGCCTGGAGGGGAGGGGCGGGGACACTGATTCAGTTTTAGTGCCTCTTTAAAAATCTCTGCAAAGGCAGCTTTCCCCAGAAGCTGCAGTCCTCACCATGAGCCCCTGGCAGCCCCTGCTCCTGGCGCTCCTGGCTCTAGGCTGCAGCTCTGCTGCCCCTCACCACCGCAAGCCGACTTTTGTGGTCTTCCCCAAGGACTTGAAAAGCGCCAACCTCACGGACACCCAGCTGGCAGAGGTAGACAGATGGCTCTGTGGAAAGCCAGGAGGGAAGATGTCCACTATCCCAAGGAAGGGGGCCCTCAAATATGCTTTCTGGATTTGGGGGTGATGGGCATGTCTGCCAGGGTTAGGCAGTAGGGGTAAGTGGTCTGGAGGCTCTGGGAAGATTAGGGTCTGCTGGAAGGATAGAATAGTGGGGGGGGGGGCTTCAAAGGGTGGTGACATGGCACGGGTTAGCAGTGAACAGTTAAACCCTGGGGGGGGGCTTTGGGGTAGGCATGGTTTATATCATCTGAGGTTGTGATGCTATCCTCAGGATAGGGAAATTCTAGCTGTGCAGAAAGAACTGGTGTCCTTGGCTTAAGAGTCCCTAAGCCTGTGGTCTAGAGGTCCAGAGGGAAGGTGCCAGAATTCTGCGATGTCTCTGACTCTTCCTCCATTCACAGGAATACCTGTACCGCTATGGGTACACTCGGGCAGCCCAGATGATGGGAGAGAAGCAGTCCCTGCGGCCCGCTTTGCTGATGCTTCAGAAGCAGCTGTCCCTGCCCCAGACTGGTGAGCTGGACAGAGAGACACTCAAGGCCATTCATACACCACGCTGTGGTGTCCCAGACGTGGGCAAATTCCAAACCTTCGAAGGCGACCTCAAGTGGCACCATCATAACATCACATACTGGTGAGATGCTGGGCTTAGAAGCAGGTGCCTGGGTGGGACTGGAGGCCAGTTTGCACCTCCACTTGGCTGGACAGAAGGGATTCTTAGCAATACAAGTCCCGAGAGGCAAGAGCCCTGGGTCTTTTGAAGATCGGGTGTAGCTGCTGCCCCGCCTCCTCCCATTTGTGATCCCTGCGTACCTCCTCCCCCATCGACGCCGGCTTTTCACCTCCAGGATCCAAAGCTACACTGAAGACTTGCCGCGAGACGTGATCGATGACTCCTTCGCGCGCGCCTTCGCGGTGTGGAGCGAGGTGACACCGCTCACCTTCACCCGCGTGTACGGGCCCGAAGCAGACATTGTCATCCAGTTTGGTGTCGCGGGTGAGAACTCCTGGGCTGGGCGGACCATGGGAGGGACGTCCACTCCTGGGCCTGCCCCACAATCCCTAGTCGCCACTCCCACAGACGACACCCTTCCCACCTCCAGCGGGGTTGGAGCCGCAGACACCTATTCTCAAGGCCTGGGGCGCTGCTCAGGGGGAGGCGCAGTCGCCTTCAGTCTCTTGCATTTAACGAGAGCAAAGTATTGTTGACCGAGTCCTTTCCTCTCCGACGACTTCTTGCAGAGCACGGAGATGGGTATCCCTTCGACGGCAAGGACGGTCTTCTGGCACACGCCTTCCCCCCAGGCCCCGGCATTCAGGGAGATGCCCACTTCGACGACGAAGAGTTGTGGTCGCTGGGCAAAGGCGTCGGTGAGATCCTGAGCCTTCCAGTATCCGCCCCCACCCCAACCCCGTCCCAACTCCCTCCTCTTACAGCGGCGTGTGGCCAGCCTCCCTGACTCTAGCCTCCTTTCTACAGTGGTCCCCACTTACTTTGGAAACTCAGATGGTGCCCCATGTCACTTTCCCTTCACCTTCGAGGGACGCTCCTATTTGGCCTGCACCACAGATGGCCGCAACGACGGCTCGCCTTGGTGTAGCACGACAGCCGACTATGACACGGACCGCAAATACGGTTTCTGCCCCAGTGAGAGTGAGTATGTGCGGGGGTGGGGAGCGGGGCGACACCTTTAAGGGTACAGAATCTTCGTTTCCAATCCCTCTTTGCCATTAGTGGTGTGGCCAGGTTACTCTCCCTCTCTCTGGGTCCAGTCTCCTCCGTGAAATGAGAAGCGTGCTGGGCCCGGCTTGGAAGTAATAACGTGGGTCTCCTCAGGACTCTACACGGAGCACGGCAACGGAGACGGCAAACCCTGTGTGTTCCCATTCATCTTTGAGGGCCACTCCTACTCTGCCTGCACCACTAAAGGTCGCTCGGATGGTTACCGCTGGTGCGCCACCACCGCCAACTATGACCAAGATAAGCTGTATGGCTTCTGCCCTACCCGAGGTACCTGGGCCCCGCCTACCAGGGTCAGCCCGGCTCTGCCCTCCAGCATTGGCCTCCAAAACTGGCTTTTCCGTCCATTCATTTCCTTTCTCTATTTACTATCAGCCGTCTGCCTCCACATCTCCTTTCCTTAACTCCCAATTGGGCGGCTTGTTTGTTTGTTTGTTTGTTTGTTTTGTTTACCCTTAGGCTTCGGTCTCCTATCTTAGGCTCTGCCCATTACTATTTCCTGGCTTCCGCAGTGCTCCACAGCGCCCCCTAGGCTTCAAAAAATAAGCCATTGAGATTCTCTAGCCCAGCTTAGTTTGGCTCACCCCTGGCACCATATTAGATCCACCCACCTGGCTCACTTACGATTCTTGGTCTCTCCAGTCGACGTGACCGTAGTTGGGGGCAACTCAGCAGGAAAGCTTTGCGTCTTCCCCTTCGTCTTCCTGGGCAAGCAGTACTCTACCTGTACCAGCGAGGGCCGCAGTGATGGGCGCCTCTGGTGCGCGACCACATCGAGCTTCGACACTGACAAGAAGTGGGGTTTCTGTCCAGACCAAGGTGGGCGGGGCTCTGAGGCTCCTGGGGTGGGGTCTGAGTCACCTCCTGGCAGTGGAGGTGGCGCAGCCAGGGCTGGGGCCTTGGGCCGATGTTTACATTTCAGGCTCCCTCTACCTTCCAGGGTACAGCCTGTTCCTGGTGGCAGCTCACGAGTTCGGCCATGCTCTGGGCTTAGATCATTCTAGTGAGCCGAAAGCGCTCATGTACCCCATGTACCACTACCACGAGGGCTTCCCTCTGAATGAAGACGACATAAAAGGCATCCAGTATCTCTATGGTGAGGCTGGGGGACAGAGATGGAGGAGCAGAGGAGAGGATGTGGTTCAGCTGGAGGAAGAGGGGAGGGGAGAAACGGAACCTCAATATCCATCTGAGTCAGGGCCTGAGTGCCCAGTGACTGCTTGGAGATGACATTCTAGGCCCGGGCTGAAAAGCTAGCCCAGGCTGGGTGTGCAGCCTAGCGTTTAGAGTACATACTGAGCGCCGCAGAGCAGACGTGAGGCCCTGGGTTTGATCCTCAGCAAGAAGGGTCAGCTTAGGGCTGGAGAGACAGCTCAGAGGTTAAGAGCACCGACTGCTCTTCTAGAGGCCCTGAGTTCAATTCCCAGCAACCACATGGTGACTCACAACCATCCGTAATGGGATCTGATGCCCTCTTCGGGTGTGTCTGAGGACAGGGATGGTGGTACTCATATACATTAAGTAAATAAATAAATAAATAAATAAGTAAGTAAATAAATCTTTGAAGAAAAAAAAGAAGAGTCAGTTAAGCCACTTCATAGGTAAGTCAGTTCTCTTCTGTATCAAGTGGCGTGCAATAATAGCGTGGGTCTCATAAGGCTTAGACAGGGCTAACCGAAGTAGAATGATGCCTGACTTTATTAAGTGACATTTGATTGTTTTGTTTTTTGATCATGATTAGCCTTTAAAAAATGAGGATACTTGCTGGGTGGCCTTGCAAGCCTGTGATTCCCAGCGCTCGGGAGATTGAGACAAAAGGGTTACCGTGAATTTGAGGCTGGCCTGAGATATACACTAAGCTCCAGGCCAACCTGGGCTACTTAAAGCTCTGACCCAAAGGAACTTTCAAAGATGAATTGATTTGTATTTGTATGGGTGTTTGGCCTGACCATGTGTGTACCATGTGTGTGCAATGCCAGAAGAGGGCGTTAGATCACTTAAAACTGGAGAAGCAAATTGTGAACTGCCATGTGGGTGTTAGAAATGATCTCAGGTCCTGTGGAAGAGCAGCCAGTGGTCTTAACCACTGAGCCACGTCTTCAGCTCCCAAAGGAACTTTTAAAGGCATAGCAGGCCAGGCATAGGTCCATGTAGGAAGCACAGGCAGCTCGCAGCACTGCTTGACACGGTGCTCATCCAAAAGACTCTCTCCCTGCCTGACTTGAGGAAGGGAGGGAGATTCTGTCTGTTTTGTTCTGAGAACCTAGTCTGTATCTTCCCAGAGCTCAGTTCTGGACACTTAGGTTTGGTGTATGAGAAGAGGCTTGCTTGTAGCCTCTAGCTTCAAGGCAAGACGGAAGGCTTCATTGCTGGACTTGGTAGTAGGCTGGGGCTAGAGAGAAATGCTGACTAGTGTGTCTTACCTAGTGTCTTGGTTTTAGGTCGTGGTCCCAAGCCTGACCCAAAGCCTCCAGCCACCACCACAGCTGAACCACAGCCGACAGCTCCTCCCACTTTGTGTCCCACGGCACCTCCCACAGTGGGCCCCACAGTTGGCCCTACAGGCGCCCCCTCACCTGGCCCTACAGGCGCCCCCTCACCTGGCCCTACAGGCACCCCCTCACCTGGCCCTACTGCTGGCTCTTCTGAGGCCTCTACAGAGCCTTTGAGTCCAGCAGACAATCCTTGCAGTGTGGATATTTTTGATGCTATTGCTGAGATCCAGGGCGCTCTGTATTTCTTCAAGGATGGGTAAGCAGGAGGGGTGAGTGGGTGAGAGAGGGGGTTTGGATAGGAGCCTGCTTGCGTCTTCCACCAACTTTCTCGGGCCAAGATTCAGGGCCCTGATATTTCCTTTCTTCTCAGTCGGTACTGGAAGTTCCCGAACCACAGAGGAAGCCGATTGCAGGGCCCCTTTGTTATTGCCCGCACGTGGCCAGCTCTGCCTGCAAAGCTGGACTCAGCCTTTGAGGATCCGCAGTCCAAGAAGCTTTTCTTCTTCTCTGGTTAGTTTATGTCTCTCTAGCTCCTCTATTCTCAGTACCATCATCTTAGGACAGACACCTTGTGTAACCCGTGAAACTGCGACTGCAAAAGAGCGCCCCCTCCCGGCTGATGCCATTTGAGTTTTGCGGGGGTGGGGTGGGGAGTGTTGAATTTCAATGCTTCTTGAGTGGCTCTGATACTAGGTCTCTCTGGCTTCTCCCTACTGACCCTCAAAGAGACTGTGCCTCATCTTTGTGTCCACTGACCGATTTGACCATTCTCTTCCGCAGGGCGCCAAATGTGGGTGTACACAGGCCAGTCGGTGCTGGGCCCGAGGAGTCTGGAGAAGTTGGGTCTAGGCTCAGAGGTAACCCAGGTCACCGGACTTCTCCCGCGCCGTGCCGGGAAGGCTCTGCTGTTCAGCAAGGGCCGTTTCTGGAAGTAAGAGCGACCGCGGCCACCAGTAGGGGGAGCCCTAGCACCACTCGCCCGCAGCCCTGGGGTGGGGAGCGGGAGGGGCTCATCGCTTGTCCACCTTCCTGCAGATTCGACTTGAAATCTCAGAAAGTGGATCCCCAGAGCGTCACTCGCTTGGATAAGGAGTTCTCTGGTGTGCCCTGGAACTCACACGACATCTTCCAGTACCAAGGTGAGGGTTGCTGATGCTGGCTGGGGAGGGTCCCTTCATGAGACGTTTCCCACTCTGGACTCCCTCCCTTAGCGACTGTCTAGTTTCTTAGCAGGAGAGAGCAAGCCCTTGGAGATTGAAGGAACTATTCCAGATAAGAGCCCTGTAGAGAGCACCCCAACTTCACACAGCCAGATCGAAGTCCCAGATTGCTTGCATATCTTTCTCTTTCGGGAACACGAGTAGGGAACACAGCTCTCTAGAAGTCTCGTTCCTTGATTATTAAACAGTAGCCAAGGGCCTATAATGTGCAGAACTGCCACTAGGGATACATGGAGAGGCAAGAAAGTGCTAGCTGTCTTTGGGCAAGTCACTGCCTCTCTTGGGGCCTCAGTTTCCCCATCTGTAAAATATATTATCTGGAGTTCTGTTAGGCTGATTCTAAGACTCAAACCTCCCAAATCTATTATTTTTCAACCATCTCCTGTATACCCTTCCCCCAACCATAGCAGTTACCCAATAACCTTTAATATGTTCTTCAAGAGTGGGGAGGCATTAGGAGTAGTGGACAATGGTTCTGACGGTGGTCCCAAACAACACTAAGGTAGAAGAAACTCACATGGCCCTGTCTGTGCGTCCAAGTTCTCATCTCCTCCCCAGACTCCTGACATTCTCTCTGCTCCGCCTAGGCTGGCTGCTCTTTGAACAGATCAAGGTCCTCTGTAGCCTAAGGCCCTCGGGACAGTTGTTCCCCTATTTGGAAGGCTTCCCACCTAAACTGGCAGCCTCTCTCTCATCCTTCAGGTTTCAGTGCTAAGGTTACCACTTCAGGGAGTTTCTTCCCTGACCCTCATTATTTTATTTACTTCTTTTTATGTCTTCCTACATCTTGAGATCGTGTCTGTATTTTTCTACTGTAGTTCCTCCGGCCTCTCATAGTCCCCGGTACATAGACGGTCTCAGTAAATCTTTGTTGAATGAATGGATGAGTTTGTCCAATAAATGTAGTCGGATAAATTGATGTGAGCTTTAAAATGGTTACCGTTCATTAGTCTGCTGATTAATTCACAGCCTGTACGTGGAACACCTACTGTGCGTCAGGTTTGCTAGTTCTTTGGGTATCAAGGTCTGTGCCCTCCAGCATGTCACAGGCAGGTAGAAGAGATGGAAATGTCCTATCAAAACCACAGAAAGATAAAGAAAAAGCCAGGAGGAGGAGTGTGTCTTAGTTAGGGCTCAACTGCTGTGAAGAGACACTGTGACCATGGCAACTTAAGAGTTAATGTTTAAAGAAGAAGATTTAATTGGGGCTGGCTTACAATTCAGAGGCTCAGTCCATTAATTTCAGGGTGGGAAACATGGTGGCACACAGGCAAACATGGTGCTGGAGAGGTAGTTGAGAGTTCTGCATCAGCAGCAGGCAGCAGGAAGAGAGAGAGAGAGAGACACTGGGCTTGCCTTGAGCATCTCAAATCTCAAAGCCCACTCCTAATGATACAGGTCTTCTAATAAGGCCACACCCCTTCCCATCTCGTTAAGTGCCACTCCCTGTGAGCCTATAGGGTCCATTTTCTTTGAAACCACGACAGGGTGCTTGTAAAAATCTATGATAAATGCATCTATGATGCATTTGTCTATGATAAAGGAGTATAGGATTCAGCTTTCTTGTGTCTTCTTGTCTCCCATAGACAAAGCCTATTTCTGCCATGACAAATACTTCTGGCGTGTGAGTTTCCAAGATGAGGTGAACCAGGAGAACCAGGCGAACCAGGCGAACGAGGTGAACCAGCCGAATCAGGTGGACCACGTGGGCTATGTGACCTACGACCTCCTGCAATGCCCTTGAATTGGGGCTCCTCTTTTGCTTCAGCAAGTCTCTAGAGACCACCCTGAGAGAAAGGAGCTCATTGGCCGGAAACAAACTGGTGATCTCTTCCAGAGACTGGAAAGGAGTGGAGGCGGGCAGGATCCTCTCTGCATCCTGCCGTTTCCTGTTGGACTGTCTCTAATAAACACGAATCCCCCAAGCTTTGCCAGCTACGTTAATCAGTTGGCTTATCTGTAGTTGTATAAGCATCCAAGCACCTGCTGGTCAGAAGACAACTTTGAAGGGTCGGTTCTGAGCTTTTTATTTTTATGTGGCATCTGGGGATTGAACTCAGCTGACTTTTGTGACAAGTACTTCACCTGCTGAACCATCTCACCGACTCCAGGTCTTTTATTTATTATGTATGTGGTCATGTTCCCATGCATGTATTTAGCCTATAGAATGCTTGCTATGTGTCAGGCGCTGCTCCAACCACTGCATAAATATTAAGGTGTCCAGTTACCCCTACTGGAAGGTATTATGTAACTATTTCTCTCTTACATCGGAGGACACCACGGAGATATCCACTCATTAAACATTTATTGAGAACATCCCTAGGGAGTCAGGCTCTCTACTGGGCATTAGGGACAGGGGAATTTATTGGATGTTGGTTCTTCCCTCAGGGATCTCTCAGGGATTCTCAGTGTCCTGAAAAGCTGCTGAAACCAGACCCCAGACTCCACTCTCGAGAATCCAACTCATTCACAAGGGAAACCCTGTGGTTGCTGGCAGCAGCAGCGTGCTTACAGAGCACATATGCTAGAGAGGTAGGGGGTTCTGTGCATTATGCTTTAGGTCAGACTGTGTCCTCCAGCCGAGATGATCTCTCGGGTAGAACTGATCCAGGAAGGATGGCTAAGTGTCTTCTTGGGACAGTCTTTTTTTTTTTTTAATAAATGAATAAATGAATATTTATTTGTGTTTGTATGCACATATGTGCTGATGCCTTAGGAGGCCAGAAGAGGGCGTTGGATCCTTTGGAATTAGAGTTGTAGGCAGTAATGTGCTGCCCCATGCCATTACTGGGAGCCAAATTCTGATCCTCTGGAACAGCAGCAAGCACATTAAATTAGAACTACGTCTCCTGCCAACCATCTCGACAAACACACAGGATGGTGGTCTTAGCATTCAAATCATGAGAACCTAGCAATGGGGATGCCTGCCCACTAGGAAGAGGTGCGCATGAGGGTGTGCTCTCAGTGAGAGGCTAGAAAGAGCAGGGAGGCTGGTGTGATGTAATTGTGTTCTGCAGGAGTCCAAGCAGGAGTCTGAAGAGTAGCCCAGAGAACCGCCCCCTCCCCAAGCTTATTTGGGGTGCTCCTCTCTTTGCTGGACTATTTCTAGCTCAGGAATGAGCCACTCCCATCTGCACACAAGCATTCCTTAACACTTAAAATTCCTTGTTTAAAACCTCTCTCCAGACCGGGCAGTGGTGGTGCACCCCTTTAATCCCAGCACTTGGGAGGCAGAGGCAGGTGGATTTCTGAGTTCAAGGCCAGCCTGGTCTACAGAGTGAGTTCCAGGACAGCCAGGACTACACAGAGAAACCCTGTCTCGAAAAAACAAAAAACAAACCAAACCAAAACACCCTCTCTCCACTCCAACTCTCTGGAGTTACTATCCTGCTTCTCTACTCCCAGGCCCACTCCCAGTAGAACTTACCCACAGGTGGATCCCACACACCTCTATGCTTCCTTGTTCCAGGCTCTAAACAACTGCTTATCACAGGCTCCTGCCTCACGACACCACTGGCTCACCTGCGACTCCCAGTCAGCACAGTGAACACTGTCTGCCCTCCATCCATCCATGGATAAGACAGTCCACCTTCCTTTCTCTATAGAAATACTTTCCACACCTCCCCTTGTGGCTCTTCTCTTCCCCTCTGTAGCCTCTCGTGAGAGCGCATCCTAAGGTTCAATTCCCAAGAGTCCTCTGTGGACACTTGTTCCCTGTGACCCCACCAAGCAACCTACTCTGAATAGCATTTCCATGTGAAAGACTCCAAACTGGCATTGCACAGCTGAACCTCTCCCCTGAGCTCTAGACTCAGGCTCGTCTGCCTGCTCTTCATGACCTAACAGGCTTTCCGGCTAAACAGACCCAACTCTCTCCTCTTCCAGCTGTCACCATGCTCTATGACTGTGGATGCACACATTCCTACACAGAGGGTGACAACTCTTAGGAGTTCTGTCATTCCGCTAGGATTACCCAGCAAGCACTTTTATCCGCTAAGCCATCTCATTGCCTGTCCCCAATATTTAAATACTTCTGGAAGGTGTGTTGTACCCTTTGTGTCTCTTGAATCCCTTTGTTCAATGATGTCTTTGTGAGCTTCGTGCATATTTTGTAAACAGTGGATAGTTTATTCTCAGTGCTATGCTTAATTCCTTTGTGTGAATGCCTGACAATGATCTATTTTTGCTACTGGTAGACATTTGGGTATATTTTGGTCTGGGATCATTATGAATAATGCAGCTATGACTATTTTTTGGAAAAGTCTTGGTGAGGGAGCCGTTGGAAAGATGGTTCGGGGTTAAAGTACTTGCTGGTCTTTCAGAGGATTCCCAGTGCCCAAATCTAGTGGCTCACAACTGCCTTTAAGTTCAGTTCCAGGGGATTCAACACCCTCTTCTGCCCTCAATGGGTATGTGCGCGTACACACACACACACACACACCAATAAAACAAAAAGTTTTTGAGAGTCATTTCTTCTTCTGCCCACAAACTAGAGTAATACTGGGCTGAAGGGTAGCATGTACTTGCCTATACTTAAAAGATGCGACAAAGCGTTCCAGAGGGGCTTTGGCTGTTCCTATTCTTCACAGTGCAGTCGTTGTCTTATTCCCCTGCCATGCTTAGCTCAGCTGCAGGTCCTGCTGCCTGTGTTTCTGCGCATCTGATGTCTCGACTTCTCTAGACTGGGCACGATTAATTACCTCTTGGTTAGACTCCCATAGGCACTCCTGCCTCCTGCCTCTGTGTGTGTGTGTGTGTGTGTGTGTGTGTACATAAACATGTGTAGGTGCAGGCAGAGGCCCGAGGTCATGACCTCGATACCTTGGGTATCGTTTCCAGGGGCTCTCCATCCTGATTTAAAAACATATTACAATTCCTTCATTGGTTATGTGTACGTAAATGGGTACCCATGCACCAACAGCACTTGCATGGCAGTCCGTGGACCACTGGCAGGACCTGGCTCTTTATCTGTGTGGCTCAAGGATCAAACTCACGCTGTCAGCCTTGTTGGCAAGTGCCTTTACCTGATGATGAGCCAGCCATCTTGCCACCCTCAGCCCCATCTTATTTTTGAGACAGTCTCCTCTCCCTCTCTCCCTCTTTCTCTCGTTCTCTCTCTCCCTCTCTCTCCCCCTCCCTCTCCCCCTCCCTCTCCCCTCCCCCTCCCTCTCTCTCCCAGACCTGGGGCCTGGTTGGGCTGGCTGCCACTGAGCCCCAGGGATAACTCCAGCTTCTTCATCACTAACCATATGATTACAGGCCCTGTATGTCCCACGTACTTTTCTGAGTAATCTTCCCATTATTTTAGCTCAGCTGTCAGAGCCATTGCTCATGTTTAACTATAGACCACACAATCCCTCTGCACCAAAACTTCCTGTGCCTTCCTTTTTGGATTAGACACGCATGGGGGTGGGGGGGCTGGAGAGATGGCTTAGTAGTTAAGAGCACCGACTACTCTTCCAGAGGTTCTGAGTTCAATTCCTAGCAACCATGAGGTGACTCACAACCATCTGTAATGGGATCCGATGCCTTGTTTTGGTGAGTAGTAAGACAGCTACAGTGTACTCATCTACACACACAAATACATACATAAATAAATAAATAAATAAATAAATAAATAAAGTGTAAAAAAAAAGAACTCAGGTTCCTCCTTTAAAAAATTGTCTTATTGCTGTGACAGGAATTCTCGGACTAGAAACAGCCTGAGGAAAAAAGATTTTGTTTGTTTAATACCAGCTTACAAGTTCCAATTACAACCATCACTGAGGGAAGCCAGAGTAAAAGCTGGAGACAGGAACCTGGAGGCAGGAACTGAAACGGAGGCCATGAAGGAACATTGCTTACTGGCTCCTCATGGCTTGCTCAGCCTGCTTTCATATAGCACCCAGGACCACCCGCACAGGGGTGGCACCACTCACAGTGGGCGGAGCCTTCCGTCATTAATCAAGAAAATGTCCCACAGGCTTGACTACAGACCAATCTGGTGAAGGCATTTTCTCAATTGAGTTCTTCTGATTCTAAAAGGACTGTAGCTTTCGCCGAGTTGATGTAAAACTAGCAAGCACAGCCTTCAAGAGGCTCTCTTCTCTTGTTTGCTCTCTTCTCTGTATCCATTCACTCCGATGCAGACACAGTGGCCATCCTTGCTGGTTCACGAACAGTACAGGTTTCTTCTTGTACTTGTCACTCAAGAACGCCTAGGCTTAAACCCAGGGTCCTGCGCATGCTAGGCTAGCATCTTTCCACCGAACTACACCTCTAGACCTACGTACTTGCTGCTGCTTCCGCTGGAGAGTTCTTCCCAGAGATCTTTGCGTTGTTAGTTCTCATTAGCTCAGGTCTCAAGCTTTCTGGGAGCCCTTCTGTCAGGTCACCCTTTAGTTCTCCTCATCAGTGGCCCCAGTTTTCCTTCTTAAGCTATGGCATAGTCTCATATCTACCTATTTGCTCACAGACTTTCTCCGATGTTCTCCTTAGAACATGAGCCTCAGGAAGACAAGTAGCCAGTTGATGGTCATTACTGTATGAGCAAAGGTCTCTGTTGCTAACAGAGGATCACCATCAATTGTGCTGAGTAAACGAACCCAGGTGTTCTGGAGAACTCAGCAGAGGTGAGGAAGCCCTCTGTGAGAAATGACTCGGGTATGGGTGGGCTCCTCAGGTGCTTCTGGTGAAACTGAGAGTCCGGGGGCCACAAGGAGAAGTGGCCAGATTGGGGAGGTTGGGCACAGCGGGCACTAGGACCCGGCGCGGCGCGCGGCGGGCGGAGAAGCTCTTGGCGCTCCAGCAGCCCGGCTGCGGCCACTTGTGCGATCCCACCGCCCCGCGCGCCATGAGCCGCAGGTTCACGGTCACCTCGCTGCCCCCCGCAGCGTCCGCCGCCTCCGCTGACCCAGAGTCCCGCCGGCATTCGGTCGCCGACCCCCGCCGGCTCCCGAGGGAAGACGTCAAAGGTAGAGGCCGCGGGGGGCGGGACTGCTGGGGGCGGGGCGAGAGGGCGGGGCCACTGCAGCGTGGGGCGGGGCCTGGGCTGGGCCAGGGGCCTGCAGGGAGCGGACAGGAGTGCGGACCCAAGGATTTGGGGCACCCCAGATGGAAGGGCGAGGGGGCGTGACCGGATCCTGGTGGGCGGGGCCACAGGGGAGCAAGTTGGGCCAGGAAAAGAGCTGGGGCAGGGGAAAGGAAGGGGCGAGCTGGAGACTGAGGGCCTGGGTCTGGAGGGGAGTAGGCCCAAACACTAAGGAGGTGTGGACCTTGAGGAGAGGGAGTAGGACCAAGGAGCGGGGACTATGAGATTGGGGTGTCCAGAGCTGCAGTG